ATGATATCCACTGTTTCTTTGACAAATATGACCCTTATTGGTCGACAGTACCGTGGCGAAGAAGGAGTTGGATTTTGAAAAACAACTTTTTTGTTTAATTCACAAACTAACTGCAGGGGAACAAAGCAACTTTGGAAAATGTTGCTGTCATGTCCATTTTGAAATCAGTCTCAATGAATGACTTTCTTCTGGACTTAATTGTTTAGGGACATCTTCTATATATATAGCCAAACGACGGAGCGACTGTCGGATCTAATTGTGACTGCTTTTCATACTGCTTGCTTGCTTTGTATGCCTTTTGATATGCTTTTGCTGTATGCGGAGAGTTAGAAATGTTTTTCTGCGGTTACTCGTCTCACTTAATTCTGCAAATGCCTTTGTTGGACGACCAGAAGAATGAGGTTTAGTCGTTGGCGTCGGTATTTCGAATGTTCCTTGTAGCCATTTATCATTCTTTTGAAGGAAAAGTTGCAATTTTTATTGAGCCCCTATCCACCTTTTCTTAAATTGAGACGTTAAATAAGAGAATGAATGCTTCACTTGTTTCTTTTGTTTATCACAATATTCATATATAAATAATATAAATAAAATAGTAAAATTAAGCGGACTTGCACTATATCATTCATTGACCTTGAAACTATGATTTATGACCCTGAAATATAACAAAATCCTTTTTAAATGCAAAAAAAGAGAGTTTACTAACAAACTTGCCACTTGACTGTGCAAACATGTCAATTTACCAATACACAATTTTTTTTTCCTAGATTTACATAAAATTTAGTAATATTTATTTATGCTTACCTATTACAGTTAATTCCATCACAATTTTCTTCACAACAAAGTCTAATACGAAATGACGATGAATAGAGAGATAATTTTTAGAAAATTTCTAACCAGATTTCAGAGGATGGGACGTAATTTCCGAAACTATACCTTTTCAAGTTCAAATTAGCATTAATCAAATTCAATATGACATTAGCTAAAACCAATTTGGCAACTGTCATAATCACATTAATCAAAATCAAAATGACATTAATAAACATCAAATTGACATTCAATCATTTAACACAACAGCAAAAACAGCATTTGAATATTTGGATGATACAACACTGGGTGGCTGGGTGCTGTATCAACGAACAAAAGTATTTTGAATTCCAAACCCTTTTCTTCCATATATTTCTGAACTTCAGCAACAAAACAGTTGTTGAACCAATTTGTAAACAGATCAGCCGTCATCCATGCCTTTTTATTCGCTATCCATTGAATCGGAAGTTGTTTCGTGTTCTTAACTCTTAGAATTCGTGGCATAAGGGATTTATTAAGATCAAGGGATCTTTGGAAGCTTTAAAACCACCAGCTGATTTATTAGATTTTGCTATGTACGACATTTCCGGAATTTTCTTCCAGAATAATCCCGTTTCGTCGGCATTAAATATTTGATCGGGAATATAATTGCCCTGTTCAATAATTTATTTTCTAAATTATGTGCAAAATTTTTGCATCTTTTTCTGATGATGCTTTATTTTTACGTTGTGAAATGCGTGTCTTTTTAGAAAACCTATCAGCCATTCCACACTTGCATTAAATACTAGCTTCTTTGTTGCCTGAAGAATTGTTGATGATTCCAGTTCCTGAAGTTGGCTGTATATTCTAAATGCTTTCTCTTTTATAGTTGTCCCATCAATAGGTACTCTTTTTTCAGTAAATCTTCTATCCAAAACACCACTCATTTTCCTAATTGTTTCCTAAATGAAATTCTAAATGAAAAATTCCTCAAACAACTCCAAAGAAAATTTTGAACTGATATTAGCGGAGGCATTAGTAACGAGAATTGTTGATTCCTTAATTGAATCGTCGAGAGTAACAGGGGATTTGGCAAAATAACTAGCCAGAGAATCACAATCGAAACTACCATGGTAAGGAGATTCAACTACACCAAGAGAATGCATGGGTTTCAACGGTAGTTGCAGCGGTTACGTAAAGCACGGTAGCTTTGCCAATTAGCATTGAAAGGATGTCTTCGAAGAGTTTTTGTAGCATTGCGCCTGCGCATGAGATCTCTGACCTTATTGTTCAGCCAGGGTGCAGGCAAGTGCTTTGTTTTGCGTGGAAGTAAAGGAGCATGACAGTCATACAGTTCACTAATTAGTGTATTAAAGTAGTGCTCGTCTCTTCGGAATATTTTGTTGTTGTTTAGACTTTTTATTAATGAGGGCACTAAAAAACGATGTAAAATTATATTGCTTATAGAACTTTTCTAAACCGAAAAATTAACAAAATATTACCATTTTTTAAAAGTAAAAAATTATCATCAATATAAATTATGGTGGAAATCTCACCATAGAATTACATTACATTACATTAAATAGACTACATATCGGGTAGGCGGACCAACCAACCTTGCACCACGACCCTAAGGATCAATTGTATTCACCGTGCAGTCCAATGGTCTTAACGAACGTTAATACCTTACTCGGTGAAAGGTCATCCTTTGAGGAGATAAACTGCGACCCAAAAATCGAGAATCTGATACGGTTAACGGCAGGGCAGTGGCATAAAACATGCTCAACCGTTTCTGCTTCCTCCGCACATAGTCGGCATTCAACATCGTCGGCTAAACCCAACAAGTTGAGGTGTGCTCTTAATCGGCAATGCCCAGTAAAGACATCCATTAGAACTTTTATGCTGCTACGAGCAAGTCCTAAAAAGTTCCCGGGTTTGACAGTGGCGATGTTAATAAACACCTTAGCATGTCTCATTCCAGGAGAACTGGTCCACAGTAGGCGAAGTCTTTCTTCATCCCACAGTCCAATCCTAATTTGGCCATCGCAAATGATAAACCAACTGCAGGTTCCGGTCCCACAAACACTTTAGAGCTGCCCTCTCGTGCTAGCTCATCTACCGCTTCATTGATGCCAGCAACCCCAAAGTGACGCGGGACCCAGATCAGAAAAACTCTATTATCACAACTCAGTGTGTTTAATGTTCTCTTGCAAGAATTAACCAGAGCCGACACCGTTTTCACGGCTTGCAGCGCCTGGAGTGCGGCTTGACTGTCTGAGAAAATTCGTACTGTCATGTTCTTCACCCCTCTCTCAAGAAGGATTTTAGCACCCATGTCAATAGCAAATACTGACGCCTGGAATACAGTACAGTACGTATCCAGGCTGTAGGCTTGCTTAATTCGAGGTGTCTGGCAGTATACTCCTGCTCCGACCCCTTCCGGCGTTTTTGATCCATTTATGAACATGCAAATATCTGTCTGAACCAGAGAATTTTTATTTTCGATCCAGGACTGCCGCTCAGGCAGCACAATCTGTCTCATTAATCCCGCCAAATCTAACGGCATTGATAGCACAGTATCAGTGCTTATAATGTTATCCGCAGCCCATTGGTAGGATAAGTCAGAACAGTTTTGAGCATATTGCTTAAATCTGTAAATGGTTGTTCTAGCCACTTTCTCTATATGCAAATGCAGAGGAGATAGGCCAAGCAAAACCTCCATTGCTATAGTTGGCGTTGTGCTTATCGCACCAGATATTGCCAATCCAGCTACCCGTTGAATTCGTGAAAGTTTACTGATAACTGAAGTCTGTCGGACTTTCCTATACCAGGCCGCTGCTCCGTATGTGATCATAGGTCTAACCACAGTCACATAGAGCCAGTACAGTCTTTCAGGGGTAAGACCTCAATTTTTTCCACAAAGACTGCGACAAGTCCACAAGGATAGTCTACAAGGTTTTGTCTAGGATTACTCCTAGATATTTGATTTCCTTTGAGAAAGGAATTTCTTCACCTTGGATAGTTGGGCGGATTAGTCTACCCAACTTTCGTTTCCTGGTGAAGGGCATAACAATTGTCTTTCGCGTGTTTATCGAGAGGTTCTCTCCCTTACACCAAGCGTAAATGGCATCTAGGGTCACCTGGAGGACTTTAGATATCCTCGACAAACAGGTTCCTTTGACCATAACGACAATATAATCAGCATAACCTTGTATTTCTACACCAATTGTTTCGACTATTTCAATCAGATCGGCAACCAGGTGGGACCAAAGCAGGGGAGATAATTAATTGATCAGTAATAGAGCAATTACTGATCATCCTTCTCTATACCACATAAGAAGTGAAGACATCAGGGAAAATTAATTACTACCCAGGCTGTAGGCTTGCTTAATTCGAGGTGTCTGGCAGTATGCTCCTGCTCCGACGCCTTCCGCAATTTTAATCCATCTGTGAACATGCAAGTATCTGCCTGAAACAGAGAATTTTCATTTTCGATCCAGGTCTGCCGCTCAGGTAGTGCAATCTGGAATCGAACATTAATCACTACCTGTTAGTGATCCCGCCAAATCTGACGGCATTGATAGCACAGTATCAGTGCTTATAATGTCTTTCGCAGCCCATTGGTAGGACATGTCGGAACAGTTTTGAGCATATTACTTAAATCTGTAAATGGTTGTTCTACCCACTTTCTCTATATGCAAATGTAGAGGAGTTAGACCAAGCAAAACCTCCATTGCTTGAGTTGGCGTTTTGTTTATCGCACCAGAGATTACCATTCCAGCTACGCGTTGAATTTGTGAAAGTTTACTGATAACTGACGTCTGTCGGACTTTCCTATATCAGGCTGCTGCTTCGTATGTGATCATAGGTCTAACCACAATCACATAGAGCCAATACAGTCTTTCAGGGGTAAGACCCGAATTTATTTATTATTAACTTTTACAACTTTATTAAAATTGTTTACTGCATTTTATGAACCGATCACTTCAATATAAAATATCTTACTGAATAACGAAATTCTGTTAGATTAATAAAATAAAGAAGTAACCCCAGGTATACAAACTAAACAAGCCATGAAGTAGACCGAGGCGAACGTAATATAAATTAGAAAATGAAATTTTTTTTGATATTCGTGTTATTTCAAAATGGCGTAAAAAAATGTTGGGTGTATATAAAATGCAAATCCAGTCTAAAAATCTTTTTTTATATTTATACAGGTGAATTACAAACTGGATCTAATCAAGCAGAAATCGTCGCCATAAAAGTTTTAAAAGAAACAGCATCCAGAGAAGCCGAAGAAGATTTCTTACGAGAAGTAGACATAATGAGCGCTTTTAGACATACAAATATTTTGTCTCTCCTTGGTGTAGTACTAAGAGGTAAAATTATTTTTTTTATGAATAATTAAAGTATTTTATTTATTTAAAATTTTTGATTTATATACAAATTTCAATTTATTTTCTAGAAAATTCAGTAAGTCCCATGATGGTTTTTGAATACATGCCACACGGAGATTTGGCAGAAGTTTTAAGAGCCCAAAAAAGACAAAGAATCGAAGATGAATGCAAACCAATTTTAACCACCAAACAACTTCTGTCCATCGCTTTACAAATATCAGCAGGAATGAGATATTTAGCCGCCCAAAGATTCGTCCACCGAGATTTGGCCTGCAGAAATTGTTTAGTTGCCGATGGACCTATTGTTAAAATTGCAGACTTTGGAATGAGCAGAGATGTTTATACATGCGATTATTACAAAGTAAATTAAAAAAATTAACTCGATTAATCTCTATTAAATGTTTTTGTGTCTTTGTAGATTGGTGGATCAAGACTTCTTCCTGTTAGATGGATGTCTCCTGAATCAATAATCTACGGTAGATTCACGTTAGAATCGGATATTTGGTCGTATGGAGTTGTTTTATGGGAAATTTATAGTTTCGGTAAACAACCGTATTATGGTCATACAAACGAAGAAGTTGTCAACCTTATATTACAAGGAATCATGTTGATCCCGCCCGAAGATATTCCACAGGTTATTTGCGAATTAATGCAAATGTGTTGGAAAACTCAAGCGAAGGATAGGATCCGTTTCAGTGATATTTACACGAAATTGGAAAAAGCTTATGACTCCCACGAAGATTTTGAAAACGAAAAATTGATTAATAGTTTAAAAAGGCTACCAAGACCTCCACCTATTCCACTTACTCCTTGTTTGGATTTGTTGGATAAACAAGGATATTTGTTACCAAATTCGAAGGATGTTGCACCATATTTAGAAACATTGCCTGTTTAAAACAAATATTCAAAATGAAATTATTTAAAGCAGGGTAAGAAGATCCATCCAATTTCTAGGAAAAAAGTTTTTAAATAATTTTTGTGATTTTTTTTAATCGTGCACATTTAAAAGTATTCAAAGAAGACAATCAGTGCCTTAATTATTTATTTTATTTTAGAATAAGCATTTATAGATTAAGAAATTTTATGAATCTGTGCCATAATTATTACAACCATTGTAAATAAGTTGTACTTTTCTCATTAGATATGTGTAAAACTAAATAATAAAGATTTATTGTCGAACTAATCATAATTTGAAGTTATTTATGTGACCAAACAGCAAAAATAATTATAAAATAAATTTATAAAAACCCAGATGTTTTACAAAATTCTAATTAAAATTATTAATATTTATCTATTTAATTTTTGTTACAACAAAAAAAAGTAAAGGGATGTATACGTTTATTTAGCGTCCTTTGGATGATCTTTATTTTCTTCTGTATGTTGCGCATTATTATGTTCGTCTTTCTTTCGATGATCGTCAATTCTTCGACGAATATTTTCAAATCTACATTTTTAAAGTAAATAAAAATGAATTCAAATAATAAAAAAATTAAAAACCTTTTTAAATGTATAATTGGCATTTCCCTTTCCCGTTTCTTTGGAATTAGGCATTTCTGAACAAATCGTCTTTTAATTTTTGATTCTTCTTTCATCATTGCTTTCTTTGTGTAAACTTCTTTTTCGTAAACACCCCGTTCTTTAAACCACAAACGTCTGTATTCCTCACTCATAAGAAAATTCATTTGTGGTTTACCAATCTATTAACCAAATAATAAAATGAAATTAGTACTAATTTTCCAAATGATAAAGAAATTGATTTTGAAAAACTTACGCTTTCATAGCTGGGAATAAAACCTTTTTCATTATTAGCTTTTGACTGTGATGATATGATGTTATCTTTGGGTACTACAGGATAAGAGGGGGTCCATTTGTTAACACGTACGCCTTGTTTACTCATTTGTTGTACTTAATGTGAACGAGAATATCGATATAATATAGTGGAAATATTGACAGGTTTTAATGCATTCTTCACCGAAACGTGGAAAAGATAAAACCGATTTATTTTTGAAATTGTCAGAGATCTGTCATCAAAATCGTTAACCTTGATCAAAAATTAAAGAAATAAATAAGTTACATATGAAGCGTCTATAGTTTCAAAAGTAGATAGATTTTTTTTTTTTAATTTTTAGGAGACAGAAAATGTAGAAAAATGTGGTGACGTCTTTATTTTTTATTATTTTTTAATGTTAAATTTTTATTCAGCTTGCACGAGGTATACCTATGTTGTAGAAAAATATCGTTCCGAAGAATTGTTAATTATTAAGAAATTATTTGTTTTATGTTTCATCTATCTGGTTTTGCAGCCAAGCCTCGTGATCTATCTGGTTTTGAAACCAAGAAACATGATCTATCTGTTTATGAAACTAAACCAAGACTAAACCATATACTAAAAAGTAGTAAACTCAGTGATAAGTTGGTTTGAAAAGGGAAAATTATAAACTTTTATTAATTGTTAATTTAATAGAATAATTAATTATCTAGATTTGAAAAGAAGTTTTTTGTTTAATCAAAAATTATTATAAGGTATAGAAGTAAGGTTGAAAGAAAAATAATAAGAGGTACAGTAAGGCATTTTATTACATTTTCAAAAGTTAACAGTACAAATCAATAGGTCGATAACACATAACTTTAGTGTACAAGTCATAATAGTTGGTAACAGAAAGGCTTAGTACACTTTTTTGTGAATATCATAATTTTCAGGTAACATCATTACAAATCAATTGGTAACACAAAACTTTGGTGTACGAGTCTATTAGTATCGGTAGTTGATAACAGAAAAGTTTGGTACACTTTTTTGTGGTCATGATAAGTTTTTCACACTGTTAAATAACTTTCTTCATCATGTTCACAACAAGCCTTAGCAATGTCAGTAGTTTGACCTTCTAAAATGGTCTAATAATATACAAGGGAGTCTAGTGTTTTCCACTCTTCACCGAAGTGTTTCCCTAACAACTTGTCTACATCCTTTGTTTTAGCAGTAGACACCATACTAGCAGAAGGAGTAATGAGCTCTGGCAAGTTGATTTTTTGGAACTTGACATGCTTTTTGCAGAACCTTTTGAACTTTCCAAAATCTGACCTATAATGGACCTCTCCTTTTACAGCAACATCATGTCGTTTGGATGTTCTTTTGAAGTAAAACCTTTTAGACGGGTTGAATTTGAAATGCCACTTTCCGGGAAGTAAAACTGTTGATTCAAACGTTTTCTTCCAATCACGATTCTTTCCTACAAGTGGAATCACTGTACCATGTCGAGAAAAAATCTGAGTGTATTCTTCAGGATCTATTAAAACGGGTTCCTTTTTCACATCCTTCTCAATCCGTCCAAATACCCGGTCGGAAGGTAAAAAAGAATGGCCCACCATTAGGAAAATGTACTCCACTTTTTTTACAGTTTCAGGGGCCTTATGTAAGAGCCAAAATACTATCATGCTCATCACATAATAGTTTTTGTTTTGCCCCCCACATCCGTCCGAGGCAAGACGTACCGTTTTTACCGTGTCTGGTATGGTAATATTATTTAGGCAGTCAAACACACAAGAGGCTATTTCATTTGCACTTTTAGGATAGTCAGATTCGTTCCAATGGTAGATGAATACGTCGTTGTCTTTCGACTGCCTGCTTTTCGAACTACCAACAACAGCTGTTAGGTTATACTTGTATAACTGCCATGAATAATAGGCACTTTGGTCGAGCGCTTTCGGCAGTACTTGATTTTTTTGGCAGTCAAAAGAGACTGTAATCAAAGTGCTACTTTCTTCTTGGAGGATTTTATAAAAGGCCTTATCTTTAAGTTTGTGGACCCTTTTTTCTGCCATTAACTTAGCTTTACCTAGTGGGTCTGCACAATTTTTAATTCTTTCGTCAAGGGACAGACAAGTATTGAAAAATCTGTTAAAAATGAATCGAAAATATGATCCCTTAACTTGTTTGTCTTGTTTTGTTTCGCTTTGGTACATTCGCCACATTTTGTTTATGTTGAGATTTGAACTTAGATACTGCCTACCTGATTTACTTCTGCAATAGTGGCTTTCTATCACCCTAAACTTTTTTATAAAGTCTCTAACAGATTGTTTTTTCTCGGCAAATAAAGCTTGCTTTCTGTCCCCTCCCCTTTTTTCTTCAGGCATATCACAACTTTCAAAGTTTCTAGACATCACTCCATTTACGCGGTTGTGAGAAATCCTTAACGTATCTAAAAAAGCTTTTTTACACACTCTAAATTTGTTCTTGGTAGATTTCTGAACAATAAAATAATTAGCAGTTAATTTACATGGTCCACGGGTGTTGTTTTTAGGTCCACTGTTTTGGGGAATTACTAAAAGGGAAAAAAACTAATGGTTACAAAATCCTACAAACAGCAAAAAACTTCTTTTCAGTTTTCAGGCAACGGCTCGTCATTAGATCCTTTAAAAAATTACGTGTTTTTAAGTAATAATTAATTATCTAAAGCTTAACAACTGTTAACCTAAGTGTTATGCTTACTGAGGAGTGTAAAACTTGGATCCTACCTTTGTCTTTTTTCTCTAGCCCTCTTCCAGCTGCTTTCATTGCGTGGTTTTTTCCTAGGACTTTCACAGTTCTCCACAGGGTTTGTTTCCATAACTACTAATAAACTTAAATGAGTTACAGAAACTCACAAAATAATGTATACCGGTACACAACTCACAACCATAACCTCCACGACAACATAGTCGCAGTGACAGCTGATGACCGGCGATCGGTGCGCAGTAGACTTGTGCGCACAGGGATGATCTATCTGACTTTGAAACTCATCGCAGTGGATGTATCTGATTTTGAAACCAACCGAAATGCTTTCAACGTTAAATAAATAGGATCAACCTGATTTAAAAAGTTGAAACTTCGTAGAGTGATAGATCCGAATATTTACTATCAGAAAATGACATTAACTCAAAATCGAAAATTTAGTGATATATCTGGTTTTGAAACTAGACGCCTCATATATAACATAATATATTAGATTTTAGTGACTGTTTAAACGGCCAACTGTGATGCTACTTATACTATATTTACTACTTTATGGCAAATATTAATTAGCTTCAATTGTTTTGTCTTACATATAAAATAGTCTGAGTTTATTTATTAGATTAACACTTGTTGGATTTTCAAGCACTTCTTACCTTGTCTAACCGCTTACAGAATTATTAGTACATTCTCGCATACACGAAGTATGCAAATAGACTAGAAGAACATAGCCTTCTTCTTTTATTAACACAAAGTCTTGTGTTTTCTGTTATAGCCTTTTGATATGCAGATGTCCAGCTTTCATGTCATCTCTTAGGTGGTCTGCCAGATAGTCTCTTCGATGTGGGTCTTTTTTCCTTTGACCACTTTGCCGATCTATGACGTTAAATCCATGGTCGACATGGTCTCACCAGCAGCGTTCTCTTACTCTTATGAATCTAATAACATCTGGGATATTAAGTTGTTTTCGTGTTACAACACTCCTATCCTAACCAACCAAAATTGAGAAGATGAAATTCAACGATTTATTCGAGGCTATCGCAGAAATAGAGAAAGACGCAGACATGAATAGAGAAAGACAGTTAGAGATAAAACCTGTCGATCAAAATCTTATTCCAGTATTTACGGGAGATCGTATGACCCTACGCAGTCATGTGAATGCTTGTGAATATTTGATTGAGAAAGTATTAACTCCTGACCCGAATGATCAGAGAATGTCACGGAGATTGTTGATGATCTTCGTGGGAAAATTCGAAGGAAAGGCACGTGAAGCAGTTGATGCCAACCGTACACCAACATCATGGCCGGAATTAAAGGCGATACTGGTCCACAGCTTTGGCGATAAGAGGTCGGAGGATATTTTGGCTTATGTCTTGAACAATATTCGACCATTAAAGAACGAGTCATCGCTCGAATATGCTAATAAAATTAAAACTACCCTGTATACTATACGTATACTATCGAAGATCAATTTGGAGGAAAACGACATAAATATCCGTCACATGAAATATAATTCTTTTTTTGCACATTTTTGTTCGGATTAGACCTGATCAATGACATCGAAACAGCTGAGGGATACGCATCCGAGATAGAAAATTATAATTTACAGAAGAAACGTTACCTGGACGTTCATAAACCTTTGACTCTACCAACGACGAGACCAATGCCCTCGTATGCATGGCCTCATGCACAGACACCAACAAGGCCGTTAGCACCTTTCCAGAAACAACAAATCTTCATGGTACCATAATAACGCAGTAATTTTATACCACCTGCTCATACTGTACCAAGACCACCACCGAGATTCGCTTCATCTCCTGGACAAATGATGCAACAGAGACTATACCGACCAGTACCGATGGGCGCCGATACTTCGGCTCAAAAACGACAAGCATCAACAATACAAAGGCCTGCAAAGAGACCTTGGCAAAATAATATGATGATTGAAGAACAAACTCCAACTCATCTTATGGAAGAAAATGAAGAGGCAGAATATCTTGAGATGCCAGAACGATATTTTAGTTATGGAATCAACTCTGAAGAAAGAAGCAATGACGAACAATATCAAGAAGAGAATGACAAAGAAGAGACAGAAGCTGTAAATTTTATCATGGTCAGCCCTGTCAGCGATTTGACATAACAGGTACAATAACTTACAACACAGCTACTTTAGATCCTAAACTCCCCTATCTAAAATTTGGTCGATATAAAATGCTCATCGATACAGGAGCATCAAAAAGCCTTGTTAACGAAAAGATCTATACAAGACAACAATCTATACGATATTCCAGAGGAAAGATATATTAGGGCTATCTCCAACTTTACTCTCGCAGGTATAGCATTCCTCATGTGTGTATCTTCACGTTGAATTTTTGGAGCAATTAAGTTTAAGAGTATTTCCACTTGTGTAGGTGTCACTCTCGTAACTACTTTATATTCTCGGGGATCTTCATTATATAGTTCTTTGAATATAGTATGCAATGCCACCTTCCTTTGCATCCAATTCAGGATGCAAAGGAAGGTGGAACAGCTATCGTCTTTTGTTTTCGCAAAACTGCGGCAAAAACTGAAAATTTTGCGAAAACGACATTCGCAAATATCTCACTTATTATCAAAGATGGAGTATTATAAATAAAACATTATATGGGCTACTTTTTACGGAGAATTCAGTGGATTAGGTAGAATTTTTTTCCCATCTTTTATTTTCGAGATTTTAGACGTAACTTTATTTTTTTAAATGGAAACCATAGTTGGCTATGACTTAAAATAATTTGTTATTTTCTTCTGATAACAAATATATATAGTTTATAGGGTATATTTCTTATGGTTATTGAATAATTAACAAAAATTCATTTTGTTCTGTCTAAAACTAATGTATGTATTTAAAAGTTAATGTTGCTATGATAACCATACATACTATGATGGAACATAATGTATCAAATAATTGCCAAAGTTTGTATTTAAAAATTCGATATCAACTCTGGCATTATGCACCAGCGTGTTAAGTGTCAAAGTATAACAAAACTGAATAAAACTTTACAATGAATTTCGAAAATTATGAAAAATGTAACATGATGGAATGCTATATGTTATCAGATAAGAATGCGACGTTAGCCGCGGAATTTTATTTCACAAGATATCCAGAAAGAAGACAACCGCACGTAAGAACCTTCAGCCGGTTAGCAGAAAATTTAATAGATATTTGGTCCTTCCCCAAACCACATACAAAAACATACCAAAATGACCTGCAAGAGAAATTGCAACAAGACGTCTGACCCAAAAGCCGCTGCTCCCGAATATGAAAGAAAAATAAGTATAAACCATACAAAGCGGGGCTAACTCATTATTTACGTGCCGGAGATGTCAATCGAAGATTAGAATTTTGTAGATGATATTTAAAAAAATTAAATAATCTGCTGTTTGTTCAAAATGTTATCTGGACCGATGAAGTCTCTGAGTGTTCAAAGAAGATTGGGGTTCAATGTATGGTGTGCCCTTTTAGATAATAGAATTTTGGCATATAGTATCTACCATAAAAACTTAAACTCAGGGAAATACCTCAATATATTAAGGCAGCACATTGAGCCTTTGGACGACAATTTGCCACTAAATATGTCTCAAATGATATATTTTCAATATGACGGAGCACCAGCACATAATGCCAGAGTTGTTAGTGAATTTTTAAATACTACTACAAACTCAAGGACAGTAGAATCTAACAGGACTGCTACATCCATTGTTGTGACAGCCTACCCGCAAACTACGTCACACCATTTTCCACGCCCAGCTGTTGTTATGGTCTATGCGTTTGCTGTGTGTTTTTAGAGGTTATATCCTAGACGTATTCATATTAGTTTTGAAGTTTTATGTTTTTAGACGTATTAATGTCTATCATATAACCTCTAAAAACATAGACAGTTATCAGGCGTGGCAAATAGTGTGACGTAGAGTGCGGGCAACCAACCCGTAGTCGACTACAAAAATACAATGGATGTAGCAGTCCTGTTAGATTCTACTGTCCTTGCTACAAACTTTGGCAATAATTGGAAACAATGCTTTCCCTCATGGTATGGTTATCACCATAACAACATTAAGTTTTAAATACATACAATAGTTTTAGAAAGAACAAAAAAAATTGATACATTATATTCCATCATAGTATGTATGGTTATCACCATAGCAACATTAACTTTTAAATACATACATTAGATTTAGATGGAACAAAATGAATTTTTGTTAATTATTCAATAACTATAAGAAATATACCCCACAAACTATATATATTTGTTATCAGAAGAAAATAACAAATTATTTTAAGTCATAGCCAACTATGGTTTCCATTTAAAAAAATAAAGTTACGTCTAAAATCTCGAAAATAAAAGATGGGAAAAAAATTCTACCTACGCCACTGAATTCTTCGTAAAAAGTTGCCCATATAATGTTTTATTTATAATACTCCATCTTTGATAATAAGTGAGATATTCGCGATTGTCGTTTTTGCAAAATTTTCAGTTTTTGCCGATAGGGCGAAAACAAAAGACGATAGCTGTTCGGAGTTTTCGGCATTAGCATTTTCTCGAAAAACGAGATCATGACATGTAAGCTACTTTTTTTCTATCTCTTTTAGTTTCGGAGATAGCCTATGCGGACATCGAAATTGGGACACCCTGTACATAGGTGCAGTAGCTGCCCACTGTCAGGTCAGCAATTCGTGTTGTGTAACCAGGCCTTAACGGCCCTATTATGTAACAGCCTTATGGGACACAATGATCAATAACAGAATTTGTAACTAGAACCACTAAAGCGACAGCACAGCTTGAGAAAGAAAACGCATCGAAATGTGAAAAATTAACTTTCGTTTTTATTTGACTAAATAATGATTTTTGTCTACTTTTGAGAATTGAATGAAAACTTTTATTTTTTACTTATGAATTATTTATTATTTTTAAATGAGTTTAATTTAAATAAAAGTACATTAAGAAAGCAAGATTAACTTACTTTAATCATAATTTAATAATTTTGACTGATGTCTTCTTCAAATGTCGGGACCTATTTTTCCATAAATACCATATCTTTTCTTACGCGAATTTATTGGAAAAGTATAGTCGCGTAAAAACAGAATTCAGTATATTATTGTACACATAATTATTATTTTTTTTATTTCTTTGATTTACACATTTCAATAGATTTTGATTGTAAAAGATACTTTATAAAATTTTCACTTGAAAAAACTTGGGGATGATTTTTCATATCCGGTCTTGAATACAACATTGTATCTTCTCAATAAACTAAATTGTTCATTTAAGAGCGTCAAAGTGAAATTTTTTGGCCATGGTTCACTCAAAGATTCAGGTTCCCATTCAATCTCCATTGTTCCACCTGCGTACTCGTTTTTAATAACGATCTGATCCGGTAATATTATATTACATTGGTTGTCTGTTGTTAAATTGTAAGATAATATTATATCGTTTTCACCTGTCATACAAGGAGCTATAAAACTTGCTACGCGATATAAGTGTTCTGCCAGTAATCTTCCAGCAGGAAAATCTAAAAAAATAATACAAGTCAGTAAAGGAAGGATTAAATTTAAATAAACTCTAAATTTACCTAAAATGTTTTCCCACATACTTCTATCCTCAGAATCAACCAAGGTGTAAGTAAAAGTTTTCACAGCTTTCCATAAAAGGTTATTAACAATCGGTATTTTAATCAATAACTTTCGTCTTTCCACAAACAATTTAGCATTTTCATTATATTCCAATGGTAGGTTAACAACGAGATCTTCCGCTATAAATGTATCGGTCCAAACTGTGTTAATTTGTAACAAAAAATCTCCAGTATTCGGACTTGAAAAATAAAAGCAATTTGTGCTATCACATGCAAATATATTTCGTATTAATCCTTTTAGTTGCAAAATGCCACCAGTGGATGTTGCAAATAAATCGTTAGTGAATGCCACGCTAGAAAGAGTAAATCTTGAATAATCTGTATAAACTGGTAAAGTTTGTAGTTCTTCGTATGTTTCAACTGGTTCTACGGATTGTCGTACTTCATAAAAAGTCGGTTTATCATAAGGTGTTTGTATTTGAAAATCAGTTTCGGTTACTTCGTAAAGATAACAAGGTTGGGTTATTAGTGTTGATGGAAAAGACAAATCGGGTTTTCCAATTAAATTTATTGATTTATTTTTGGCGTAGTGATATTTCGGAACTTCACCGCTTAGTAATAAATTACAATTTATAGTTTTCGCAGATTTTGCAACGTATGTTATATTTAATTCAGCACTTTTCTGTGGTAAAATAATCAATATATCTGCACTCAATACAAATGATGTATTGGCAGGAATAATAATTGGTTTATAAGCTATAGAATAAGAATTTGGATTAGATAATTTTATAGATTTGGAAATGTTTTGTGATAAACCAGTTTCAAAAATCATAGTTTCACTTGGATACATAGTCGGCATTATATCATACAAATAAGCCATTAACATGAATATTCTTAAAGAGTTCGGTCGCAGTATCTCGTCTGCAGATATTGAAAAACTATAATTTAATTGTTCCCAAGCTTGAATGACAGTAATCAAATTGTGTAAATTTTCAACATTTGTTTCAGGAGAATGATAGATCGTTTGTAAAAACGGACGTAAATATGGACAATAAACACTTGTTATTGTCGCCAAAACTAAACCATCCGTGAAACATTCCCCTGTAATACTGATCATTTTCGGTTCCCTCTCCTTTTCATCCCATAAGTTAGCATTATCATAATGATATTGAAACCATGCTATTATTACATCTTCATACATACTATGTACGTCTGAACTACCAAAACATATATGTGAAACAGCATCAAAAAAAATATTTAACGGTTCAACATCCGGAGTGTTTTTACTTTTTTCCGTGGGTAATCTAAATAAATATAAAGATTTGTAAATTTGTAGGATTAAATCTAACCAGGCTTGTTTTGTTAATAGATGAAATTCATCTATATTCTCTATCCAATGCGCTAACGGTTTTAACGGCGTATCTTCACAATCAAACGATTTGCGGTAGATGTTAAAATAATTAAAAGGAAGATAAAAAACTGGGCAAATATAAGAAAACGTCCCTCCATATTTCGTTATTAATTCTATAACTTTCGCATAAATTGTATGCAAATAACACGCTTGCTCTACTTGATCTGAGGGAAAATCCCTGAATTAAAAAAAATTTCTTAAATTAATCTAATTAAATTTTATATTATACATACTTAATTTCCAAATAATCATTAATTTTATCTCCAATCAGATTATTCAAAAGATCTACGATTGGTATCATAGTTTTACTCGTAGTCTTTTTCTTGTCCTTTTTATCCTGCGTCTCAATCGTAAAAACATTACTAATACAATTTGGTATATAATAATAAGTTTGGCAAAAAAATCCTTGGGTGTAGAGCCACATTTCGGTTGCGTATACACAGCCGTCCATAAAGAAGGTAAATTCGTTGTTTTTAGTCGGATAGAATGGAAATAAAGGCCAAAAATCTGACACATCGTATTGTCGATCCATATTTGATTTCTCAACAATCATAGTTGAACTCTAAAATTAAAATAATCAAATAATACTTTTAAATAATGTAAAGGTGTCTCAATAAAAGTGATCGATTTAAATTTACCGCCATTTTTTTCTGTGCAAGTGGCAGCCCTGAAATTTGACAGCTGTCATCTACGATTGTTCGGATTATTAATTAGACCGCGTTATACATCATTTGACTAAGCGACATTTTATCGTTTTTAGAAATTTTCAAGCTGTCTGGTAGGTAAAGGTGTAACTTATCTTAGAAAAAATGCAGAATACCGAAAGACCTAAAATACTATTTGTTTTAAAGGATAAAGCGAAGCAATTTCGGGCCAGTGTCGTTTTCTAGATGTTAGTATTGTTGTATTATGTAGTTTATAAATAAGAATAAAAGTAGAAAACTACCTTACCGACAGACAGAACGATACGCAATGGTGTACAAGCGTGCTTAACAGTATTCTTACAATCAGGACAATCAGAGCTTATTATCTTGTTATTAAGGTAGAATTGGGTTATTTCAAATATATTATTTTAAACAATCTACAAGTGATTGATTTATAACATGGTGTCAGGTGTGTAGAATAAACAAGATTATGTTAAAGCTAAGAGTTGCCTACGCTAATCGGTGGCTACGATTACCATTTGGAGTTGCCCCAGCGCCAGAATTATTTTCGATGAAAATGCAAGACAATCTGAACGGTTTAGAAGGTGTAGAAGTAATGGCGGATGATATCGTGATATATGGACGCGGTGACACTATGGAACGAGCTAGCTATGAATGACCATAATCAGAATCTGAAGAACTTGTTTACACGATTAAGAAGAAGAAATGTTAAACTTAACAAATCAAAATTGAATTTATGCAAAAGTGAAGTCAAGTTCTATGGACATGTTCTAAGCAATGAAGGGCTCAAACAGGTCTGGTCTACTATTACTAATTACTGATATGCCGTAGCCTAAACACAAACAAGATTTACATAGATTTCTAGGTATGGTGAATTATTTAGGACGTTACATCAAGAATTTAAGTTGCAAAACAGTGGAATTAAGAAAATTATTATTGGAAAAGACAGCGTGGAAATGGGAGGACGAAGAGCAAGAAGAATTTAAGAAACTTAAAGACAATTAGTGATATAGAAACGTTAAAATATTTCAAACCTCAAGAGGAAGTTGTTTTGGAATGCGACGCTAGTTCGGAAGGACTTGGAATGGTTATGTTACAAAAAGATGGCATTGTTGCTTATGCATCAAGAGTCTTATCGAAGTCAGAGAAGAACTACGCAATGATAGAGAAGGAATTGTTAAGTATTGTTTTTGCTACACCTTTATTAGCCATATTTGACAAGCCATTATTGAAAGCGCCAAAAAGACTTCAGGCTATGCTTATGATTCTGCAAAGATATAATATAAAATTAGAATTTATTCCTGGCAAAAGCAATATAATTGCCTATGCATTGTCTAGAGCAGCAGTAAAGGACACTGAAAAGCATAACGAAGAATCAGTCTTTAACACCATTGGACAAATTAATACGGTTGAGGAATTGTCTATCACTGATGAGAGACCGCAGTCGATAAGAGAAGAGACAAGCAAAGACCCAACCATGAAGCAATTAATGTTCACCATAATGTATGGATGGCCAAAGCACATCAAAGACGTACCAGACCAAATCAAAATATATCACAAATACAGAAATGAATTAGGTATACAACAGGGACTTATTACTAGATCGGACAAAATTGTAATTTCGTATATTTTAAGAAACGACATGTTGGAAAGAATTGATTATTAGTGATAATGATATACATTTTATCAATGAGGACATGCGACGGTTTGCAGCGAGATATCAAATTAACCACATAACATCATCACCATTTCACCAACAAGGTAACGGAAAGGCGGAAGCAGCGGTGAAGATTCTAAAATTCTGATAAAAAAATGTGAGAATTCCGGGGAGGATTTATGGTATGTTTTATTACATTGGAGAAATACACCAAACAAGTTGAATACTAGTCCTGCACAAAGATTTTTGTTGAGACAAACAAGACGTAGTTTACCTTCGCTTAAATTAAAACAAAATAATAACTAATGTACCTGAAGATATTGAAGCAAAAAGAAAAAATTACAAATTTTACTATGACAAAAAAACTAGGCCATTACCAGAATTGAAAATGGGAGAAAAAGTGTACGTTCAATTAAAGCCACACTTACAAACCAATTGGACGGAAGGAACAGTGTCAACAAAACTCTCAGATAGATTATATCATGTGGACATTGATGGAAAGTTATTTAACCGAAATAGGATCAATATAAAATCACAACCAGGAGAAGGTTTCAAGGAGATGAAGACAAAGGAGATAGAAGATAGGGAATTGGAAGTTAGACAAGAGAAAGTTAATTTTAGTGATAGTGTTGTTGATATTGAGAACTCTACCAATGACTCTAAAACGGACGGTAATAAGAAATTCGAATTGAAAGACATTTTTAATAAATCATTGCCTGAAAATAAAGTTGAAGGTGATACCGAAATAAAAATTAACTCTCAGAATGAAACGATACCAAGAAGAAAACGGAAAACGCCAAGTAAATTTAAAGATTTTAAATTGTACAAATAATTACTTTGTAGGTTTTATTTTTTTTGTTGTTCGTAAAAAAGGAAAGATGATGTATTATGTAGTTTATAAATAAGAATAAAAGTAAACAAATAAATAAAACTACCTTACCGACAGACAGAACGATACGCAATGGCGTACAAGCGTGCTTAACAGTATTCTTACAATCAGAGCTTATTATCTTGTTATTAAGGTAGAACTGGGTTATTTCAAATATATTATTTTAAACAATCTACAAGTGATTGATTTGTAACAAGTATAAAATTAAAAGTTTATGTCTTTTATTTTATATAGAATTTAAGTCTAACTAGTTTCGGCCCTTGGCCATCTTCAGGGACTCTACAAATAGATTAACATCTCTCATCTTATCCATTTTACAAACGACAGCGGTGGGTAGCACTAGTTAGCATAAGACATCACTATGTTGCATATTTTCATTGCACTAAAACTAGAACTAACACTACACCTAGACTAGAATCATTCGGGTTTAGCATTTACCTCAAAAATCCAAAAAGTTGGAACTTTCAACTTTAAATTTGACACATTTGTCAACTTCATAAAAAATCCTTTTAAAATGAGTCCAAACTCGACATATTTTACTTTAATATTAATGCAAATACAATCACTTCCGGTTTGAAACGTCAACATCAATTTTGACATATTTGTTATCTTCATTAAAAAACCTTTAAAATAAGTCCAAAGATGACGCACTTATCTCAAAAAACAAATAAGTTAGAATAAAAAACATTAAACCCTAAGTTAGCAACAATGAAGTTAACAATATAATTTTTAAATATTAATACCAACCTTAATTTTTTATTTTTTTTATTATATTTTTGTTTTTGTGACAAATACATATTAAGACTTTTTATAAAAATTAAGAATATGTCAATACGACATTGACATTTTTTCAAACTGGAAGTTGCTTATATCTCGCGTAATATTGGAATTAAACGTATAATATTTGGACTCATTTTAAAAGATTTTTCATGACGATTACAAATATGTCAAAATTGACGTTGACATTCTTAACCGGAAGTCAACCATAACTCCATTAATATTGAAGATAAATATGTCGTGTTTGTACTCATTTTAAAGGATTTTTTATGAAGATTACAAATATCTCAAAATTGAGGTTGACATTTTAAACCTGAATTTAGTTATCATATAATAGAAGTTTTATAACTGAAGGTTATCTAGTGTTAGTCACTTTTCCGCACTTTCTTTTTATTTTTAACGTGTTTTTGGGTCATTTCACATTGATTAATCGTCGATTTTTAAACCACATGATTTTTAAATTTTTCCCAAATTTCTTAATATTTCTTTTATTAAAAAAGAGCATTCTTAATTTTAACCTGTAAACTTGTAACACTTCGTCCTTAATTTCATTTTACAACTTTTTAAACTTTAATTTTGTAAATTAGTAACTAATAATCTGATTTCGACTTTGATATGTGACATTTTTTAACAAAACAAAAAGAAATGATAAGAAACTTGTTTGTAAAATGGATAAGATGAGAGATGTTAATCTATTTGTAGAGTCTTTAAAGATGGCCAAGGGCCGAAACTGGTTAGACTTAAATTCTATATAAAACAAAAACTAGTTTAAAAGTACAAAAACAAAGTCTAGATTACTTTCTACAAAAATTTTTACACGAATCGTCATCATTTTGTCTCTAGTTTAGTGATTAAATTTATGCCACGACTTACAGAAACACCCGGTATAATCGTAAAACGTAACGAGTGACCAAGCGGCTTCTGTGCTTGTGATAGCTGTCATCAGTGTTCTGTGATAAAAATGGACAGGCACCAAACAATTTTTAATAGTTTGAGCTTATCTATTCTGAGAAGTCTTATATTTTTAGAGAGATAAAACCGAAAATCCGGTTTTTCTCAACATTACTCATTTGTCGCTTACAAGGGAAGTGTCACAACTGTGTCTCACCGATTTCGATGCAATTTGGTACAGTCATAGAATGGGCCAAAATAAGGTTCGCACATTTTTTTATACGTGCGGTAAAAGCCCCTGGGGCGAGTTATAGGGGTTGAAAGTTTGGAGAAAAAGTACGTTTTCACTTATATTTTGAAAACGAAAAGTGCTATCAAAATTTGGTAAATTGTAACTGATATTCATTTTAAAAGAGCTTTCTTTTGATGTGTCACACATATAGCAGAGGGTTAAAAAGGGCGAACTACCCCTATTTTTTTGGAATTATTTAAAAACCNAGCACTTTTCATTTTTAAAATATAAGTGAAAACGTACTTTTTCTCCAAACTTTCAACCCCTATAACTCGCCCCAGGGGCTTTTACCGCACGTATAAAAAAATGTACGAACCTTATTTTGGCCCATTCTATGACTGTACCAAATTGCATCGAAATCGGTGAGACACAGTTGTGACACTTCCCTTGT